GCAACACCCTGACAACCACTCACAACACCCTATCGCGACGACCACTTTTGAATGGCCAGTAAATTATCTAAATAAATTCAAAATATACATAAAAAAAATTAAAAATAATAAATTTTTTAATTAATTTTTTAATAAATAAAAAATAATATATATATATATATATATATATATATAGATATGAAGAGTTCAGATGCAAAAGCCTCTAAATGCCATTTGAAATTTTCTTCTTTAATGATGATTTTTATCAAACTTGTATATTTAAGTTCAGTAATTTCACTTAAATAACAATTAATAGGTAATTATCATTGCCATTTAAGTGAATTTACTGAACTTAAATATACAAGTTTGATAAAAATCATCATTAAAGAAGAAAATTTCAAATGGCATTTAGAGGCTTTTGCATCTGAACTCTTCATATATTTCTAATATTATTTATTTTATTAAAAAATACATAATTACAAAATAGGCTGTAAACAATAAAACCATTTTTATATAAAATAAAAATACAAAATTTTATCATGCTGTTGGCCCGATTTCATGACATCAAATCCAATCAAGGTTATGCATTTTTTTCTTTTTTGTTTTGTCTGAATACCTGATACACTTGTTTGATTGTTTATTTCATTCCAAATAACAAATAAATAGCTTAGATTACAAATGTAAGCTATATTATCACTCAGCTATAATCTGCTAAATTAAGATTAACCTTAACATCATGTTTTTCAGCTTGCCAACACATCACAACACACACTTTCCATTCAAAACTGATTCTCAAAGCTCTCACTGGCTCTTTTTGCTCATTTCTAAACATCACCTTTGTTTTATGCATGTCTGCTCGGGCATTTCATAGGACATTGTGTTGCTGCTTTCGATGTTGAGCGCATTTTGAACATCCAGTACCCCCCAAAAAGAGGTTATAATTTCAACCATGTACACACACAGCTGGTGCAAAAGAGCCAAAAGTAGGTCAGTGAACAAGCCACAGCACAACCCTTCGCAGCATTGTGTGCTAAACAAAGGGTATTTTCAGTGGCAAGGAACGGTTTTGTGACACTGTAAATATAGCACAAATTCAGTAAATTACTGTATATGGAGGGCTTGATTCAGTACGTTTAGTGTGAGTGTGCTGTAAATTCCCAGTTTTATACAGTGAACATGCTGTTCATTCTAACACACACTCTGAAATACCCAAAATGCATTGCTGTCTTTCGTCAAAAGACCCCAAAGTACACCACAACCAGATGGCACAAAAGCTCAATGGATCCTCTCCATGAATAACTAAACCAAAACCACACATCTCCATCCCAGGCCTCTCCCTCAGGAATCCTCAGCTCTGTCCAGACATTCTGCTCACAGACAATTTGAATTGGAAAAACAGAAGAGACACCAAGCAGAACTGGAAATCCATGCGTTTGGTTTCTTTAAAGGGGTCAAACACAACATATCACATTTTCCTTGATGTTTTGTGATGGAATGACTGCACTCTGAAACCATGCAGACACTTTCACAACTTCCTTCCTGGTTCAAAAATCATCTTTTTAAAACAAACTGCAAAAATGAAGCATTCTGACCTTTGCAACCTATATTTACACATTTACAGTGGCACCAGTTTGTTCAGAAAGTCAACCTGCCCAATCACAGTGAAATAAGCAGAAACCAGTTCCTATTCCTAGACCAAATTAACTGGCAATTAAGATTAAATAAGTAAAAGGTTGACAAACACTGGGTGGGGGATGGATGGATGGATGGATGGATGCATGGATACATGGATGGATGGATGGATGGATGTGTGAATGCGTGGATGGATGGATGGATAGATGGATGGATGGATGGATGGATGGATGGATGGATGGATGGATGCATGGATGGATGGATGGATGGATGGATGCGTGGGTCGGTACATGGATGGATGGATGCATGGATGGATGTGTGGGTGGATGCATGGATGGATGGATGGATGCATGGATGGATGAATGTATGGATGAATGCATGGATGGATGGATGGATGGATGCATGGATGGATGCATGGATGGATGGATGGATGCATGCATGGATGGATGATGGATGGGTGGGTTGGTACATGGATGGATGGATGGATGCATGGATGAATGGATGATGCATCAATGCATGGATGCATGCGTGGGTGGGTGGATGGATGGATGGATGCATGGATGCATGTGTGGTTGGATGCATGGATGGATGCATTGATGCATGGATGCATGCGTGGGTTGGATGGATGGATGGATGGATAGATGCATGGATGAATGCATGGATGCATGGATGGATGGATGGATGGATGCATGGATGGATGCATGGATACATGGATGGATGAATGCATGGATGGATAGATGGATGGATGGATGGATGCATGGATGCATGGATGGATGGATGGATGCATGGATGCATGGATGGATGACATATTTTAAGTGTATGCCAAAATACCATCTCTGAGTCCAGATGGAATCTGCATAATTCAAAGGGATAATCCATAAATTCTTTAATAAATGAAAATGCAACAGGGGGAAGGGTGTATAGAACATTTTGAATGACATAGCCTACATTGCAATTCTATGGAAATCTGCCCAGTTTTCTGCTGCGTACCATGGGCACAGACTCTACATATCCATATCCTTTTTCTTTAAGTACAGTGTCTGAATGCAAAACTCTTCTGACTTGTTGATGCATTAGTCTGACAGTTTTCAGGGTGCTGTACAAACGTGGTGTTTGTTTTTGCACTGATTTCACTTTGGGGCAGAGGAACAAAGCGACAAGCACCAGCACGAATGAAAGAGAGAGAGATCGAATTCGGCTCAGTGCTCATTGTAGAAGAGAGGTTTAGTGATGAAAGAACGTATGAAGAGCAGAGCGAAAAAAGGGGTGTGTGTGCTGTATTCCAGACATGTAGGGTGTCTCGCACTGGAAATGGAACTGTCAACACCCCACCACGCATCATCACTCACATCACTCACACACACACACGCACAAACAAAACTCTCTCTCTCTCACACACACACACACACACACACACTATTGTCCTCATTGCCACACCATTAAACTTATAGAAAAAAAACTGGAACAGAGATGTGGATGTGTGGTGTTCTTTCAAAACAATCTAATTCTCCCCTCAAATGATTTATTGTAAGAATTGTAAGATCTTTAACACTCATGTCACGATTATTCATCAATATGCAGAAAATGATCTCAAGGTTACCAGGAAATAGTATCTGCAACCCATTGTACCTCTATAATGTGATGTTTTATTTTAATAAAGGATATACGACAAGAAAAAAATAGAGCGGGGCATGATTCTACCCATTGGGAATTGGTTGGGTTGTGAAAAGTGGCCAGTTGGTTTAGTGGAGGCTGGAAAATAAGAGGGATTGGTGACATCAGCTTTGTTAAAATAAAGTATAATAAAGTAATCAGGATCAATTTTGATTTCATGTCAACTTTAAAGCTTTTGCCTGGTATTTGAATTCAACAGCGTTTGATCCAGTTGTAGGACTGAGAAACCAAAGCAATAGTTGATTGCGAAGAGGTTTAGAAATTGGGGTCAAATCAAACCAGCAGTGACAAACAACGACAGACATTCGTACTGCGAGATACAACAGAGATCTCTCGACACACAAATGCACAGGAAGTGGGTGATATATGGACAGGAAGAGGTCAAAACCCATTAATGACCATATTCATCCTTTCAGCATTCAACTTTATCACCCAAACTATTCAACATCACTCAGCCTTTCACATGACAAAAAGCAAGACAAAAGCAAGGAGATTTATGTTAAGAATTCGAAGAACATGGTCCTCAGTTGAAAACCAGATTCAGAAACACCAAGTTTGTCCACCAGTAAATTATGATGATGAACAGCATCATTAGACCAGCATAAACCAGCCTGAAACATTGGTCTAAACTAGTCTTTCCTAGGTTAAACATGTATTACATTTAGTGCTTGGGGAGGTGACATGACATGTCAAACAGTGTGACATGCAAATTATTTTTAATGTATTTTTCATAAGATTTAAATGACTTAAAGGAGTAGTTCACTTTAAAAAAAAAACAAAAAAAAAACTTTTGCTGATAATTTACTCACCCCCATGCCATCCAAGATGTCCACGTCTTTCTTTCTTCAGTTGAAAAGAAATTAATGTTTTTGATGAAAACATTCCAGGATTTTCTCCATTTAATGGACTTCAATGGGAACCAAACGGTTCAAGGTCCAAATGAGTGTTTCAGATCAGCTCCAAAGAGCTTTAAACGACACCAGACGATGAATAAGGGTCTTATCTAGCGAAACGATCGCTCATTTCAAAAAATAAATAAAAAAGTTTACGTTTTATAAGCACAAATGCTTGCCTTGCTCTGTTCTGTGATGAGCGTTTGTGACTCGTTCATCAAAATGAACAAATCTTTTTTCGAGTCATGACTCGAAGGGTCCTAGATAAGACCCTTATTCATCGTCTGATGTCGTTTAAAGCTGCACTAAAACTCTCATTTGGACCTTGAACTGTTTGGTTCCCAATGAAGTCCATTATATGGAGAAAATGGATGTTTTCAACAAAAACCTTAATATCTTTTCGACTGAATAAAGAAAGACGTGGACATCTTGGATGACATGGGGGTGAGAGAATCATCAGCAAAAGTTTTTTTTTTTTTTAAAGTGAACTATTCCTTTAACAGTTTGCAATTTATATCTAATAAAAACAGCCAAAAATGGAGCTGTGTATAATATTAAATATACAAAGAATGCATTTTCATAATCAGCATTCCACTTAAAACAACCAAAGCAATTTCTTTCGGAAGAGAGAAGCACATAATCAATTCATCAGTGAAATCCAAGAAATTCAACGCACCGCAGGATGTCCTACAAGTCCACATGGGACTAATCTAAAGGTACGCTCTTCAAAGACGACACACTGATCTGTTGGCGGGGGTGTTTTTGCTGAGGTGATACCTTATAAAAAAGCCCCTCCACCCCCAAACAGTAAAGGTTTGGTACCTCTTTATTCCGTTCCCTTGGCCTTCACATGCCCTGGATTCCGACACAATGCTCCGTAGCTACGGGGTCAGCACAGGTCAGCGTGATTATAAAGGACCTGGAGAGACATACAGAGAGAGAATGAGAGGGGGTGTCAAGACTTTGCTGATGCCACAGGAAGCTCGACTGATTACTTGTGTTGATGGATTGGATGGGCGGCTCCTTCACAGTATCCTGAAGGACCTGGGCTGCTAACACAATGCTTTCAGGTTCAATCTCAAGTAGGAGAGTTACTAAGAACCAAGTTAAATCATCATTGTGCCCTTGACCACGGCAGTTAGCCTAGATTTGCTCCTGAGAGACCGTCCCCAAATGAAATTTTTAGGGTTCAGGTGCTGCTCTTTTACTGTTTAAATGAGTTTTCTATTATGTTTTATTGAAGTATCAACTGTCTCAAAGGTTTCTCCTAAAAATCCTTAAGAAGATCTGTGTGATTTTCACTAATTTCAAAAATAATTACAAAGAAAAAGCAAGCATGACACCAAATTAATTGGGAAATTTTGAAGTAGAAAGGCTGAAATAGCATTTTCTTGCAAAATGTAGCCTACTACAATAGGCTAATGTTTGTTTAATTGACAACTTAAAAAAAAATTTTTTACAGTGAATACGAATAAAGGACACGCTTGTTGATGTGCACTAGTACTACATAACATTAAAATGAATTTGGATCAGATCTGGCCTTGGAAGAATTTGATGAGAAATGTTAATGTACTTTTACATTTCATCCAAACGTCCTGCCTACAAAAGACACACACAATACATGTCAAAGAGGACCATGCTTCAATGCTGCTATGCACCCGTTAACAGACAAACTCCACATGGTAAAGGATACATTTGCTACACACTCGGTGGTGCCTCAAGAGTCACACAGAATGATCCCATTATGCTAAACCATATTGTTGTGAGTTTTTATTGTGGAGCTCAGCTGTTAAACACAAAAATAGTTTGAGCATCGCCCACCATCAATGGCCCGCAACCAACGAGAACCTTTAGTACAACCACAAATCTCTTGGCCTTGGAAGCCATCGTTATGGCAACAGTTCAGAGTTAGCTGAAACTAATAACCTCAGTCCTCACTGAAACTGCAAACTAGTTATACAATCCCACTGAAAGAGCTTTCTGGCTGAGAGCAGATTGTTGATTTAGTCATGTAAATTTCTATGACAACAACCGGGACTGTTCCTAAAACAGCCGAGGTAAAGCTCTCTACAAAACCAATACAAAGAAATATGCAACAATTAAAGGAGTAGTTCACTTTAAAAAAAAAAAAACTTTTGCTGATAATTTACTCACCCCCATGTCATCCAAGATAACCATGTCATTCTTTCTTCAGTCGAAAATTAAGGTTTTTGATGAAAACATTCCAGGACTTTTCTAAATATAATGGACTTCAATGGGAACCAAACGGTTCAAGGTCCAAAAGGACAGTTTCAGTGCAAACTGTTCAAAGGGCTTTAAACAACTCCAGATGATGAATAAGGGTCTTTTTCAAGCTAAACGATAGCTCATTTAAAAAAAAAAAAAAAAAAAAGTTTAAGTTTTATAAGCACAAATGGTCGCCTTGCTCTGTTCTGTGATGAGCGTTCGTGACTCTCCTGTTCGAACTCGTCGTTTATCAAAATGAACGAATCTTTTTTCATGTCATTTGGTTCATTCAACAATCGAATCGAGTTGACTCTGGAAAAGATTTGTTCATTTTGATTAATGAGTTCGAATAGGAGAGTCACGAACGTGCATCAGGGAACAGAGCATCACAGAAAAAGTGAACTACTTTAAATACATTTTTATATTTTCTAACAAAAAATGTGAGTGCCCAGCTTGTCGAAAAGCTCATGTTTCTTTCTCTTTACCACCAGTTTTTTACAGTAAAGATTTTAGTAATCGTTCAAATTATTTTGGTTAATGAAATATCTATATATATTTACTGTAAATTTAAGGTTAGCTTAAAATGTTGCTACTGTATATTTTACGGTTATCTGGCAACTATTTTTTTTCTCCATAAATTAACCCGTTTTCTTTTTACAGTGCACGATATTTGATTTGTTAAATTCTTTGAATAAGTGGTTTGTTCAATTCACTAACCTTGTGAGCAACAGTTATTGACACTTGTCTTCCATAACAATAATTAACCAGAAAAAAAACCCTGAAGTAATTAAAGAAATTCTCTGTGGTGTTCCAGTCTTATAGTGAGAAAAATGAGGAAGTAATTTTAAAGGATGTTTGTAAAGGAAACAGGTGCACAAAAACACAATCTTGCGTGTCACAGAGAGCTCCTTCTAACCCAGTCCCAGCTGCCACTAATGCATGACAAACACTTGTTTTGAGGTCTATGATTGTAGTCCTAGAACAAAGAGCGGGACTCTGAGTCATGAGACCATAGAAATGTCATAGAAATGAGAGACAGGCAAATATGAGGGCTACTATACTACTTTTGCTATTTGTGCAGAATATAGTGTGCACATGGCTTTGCAAATGCTCTGTATACATAGAATATCACATTTGAAAAAATGTGCAATTAACAATAGAATGCAATAGTTACAGCATCTACCAGAATCAGCTAGCAGGACTATGCTAATGCTAACCAACAAAACATCTTGGGAAAACCTGGTTGATCTACAACATTTGCAAAATATGTACTGTACTGTATCTCAAAATGCAATGGAAGTAGTATAATCTGCATGAAAATTTAGTTCCAAAATATTTTTTCTTTCCAAAATGAAACATGCAACAAGAGGTCATGTGATGAAAACATTGATGTATATCATTTCCCAAAATAGGTTCTGCTTCACATTTCACCAAATACATTTTGAAACTGAATGTGAAACAAAATCTTATCTTATCTTAAATCTTAAAAACCGTATGTGAGACTTCAGTAAAGCTTCAGAGTTCAGTCTCATGTTTTTCATGATTTTTAAGCCATGTAATCATGACTGCATGCGTTGCTTTTAAGCATGTTCATGCATATGCAGAAAGCCTTAAACTGACATAAACAGGCAGTCACACCCCGGCCTACTGCTAGATCAGGCCATCCAGGGCGTTTCCTCTCACTTCTTTACCATCATCCTTCAAGACAGCTCTCTAAAACACACTGACTGATGCTCAACTACTGGTGAGTGCATTTCTAAACATTATCGCTTTCATTTTTTGAGTTTCAGAGCATCTTCTTTACAGCTTGTAACAGCGCATTTCATAAAATTTCATTAAAATTCAGAAATGGTGCTATACATGAAGCCTTCCAACCCACTTTTTTAAGGGCGTCAGCGTAAATGCCCTTTTTAACTATAGGCCTATTTTGGCAATCTTTCTCTGTAGTTTAAGATTTTTAATGAAAGACAAATATGTATATCTTAGTTATACAAGTTATATCTTATAATGTATATTTATGACATATCATCTGACTTATGAGCAACCAAACAAGTGAAACTGTTCCTGATTCATAACCAACATCGATGCACATTTCATGACAGGAAACCACAATGAATGATAAACAAGTTTGTATTCAACTTTTAATTCGTGTGACATGACAAAATAAAAAGCAGTAACAAGAAAACAAAATGTTCTTGTCTGAGAATTCGGACAATGCAGTCGAAACAGAAAGGTAATCTGCACACAGCTTTCCATGTTAGTATTTAGAATAAAAGAAGGATTGGGAAAAAAATAAAATCAAACCCTTCTTGTATCAATCCCAACCACATTTTAACCATCACCTTGAAGCTTATGTAAGATTAGTCTCATTATTCTAGTGCCTGAGGTCATGGTGGTACAGTCACCACTCTCGTAATGACCGCACATTGATGCAAAAAATGCATTGATGCAAAAAAAGGATGACTTACAGCCGGCACATTGAAGTACATCGAAATGCACAGCATTATTCAGTGTTGACGTACCCGGTAATTTCCACTGAAACAGGAAGACAGGGCGGGACATATCGAACAGCTCCTCCCCCTTTTTTTAATAGCCAATAGAGTTTTGCTTATGTCACAGCTCAGTCAGAGGCTCAGAGCCGTTGAGATCGGTAAAGCCGCAGCGTCGTCCTAATCTCGAATCATTTCTCCTCCAAATCTATCGCTTTTAAAATATAGCATTTTTGTCCAGAATTCAAATTGGTTCGATACATTTTCTGGTCTGTGACGACTCGATCATACTCGATCTGTGCAATCATATCTCTGGAACGGAGCTATGGTGGGTCGCATGACATTGACATGAAACCAGACTTCATTCCATTCAGACCAATGGAAAGCATATTTGAATCGTTCCGTATCCCCTAGTTCAATTCACCTAGAAAATAGTAAATGTGTGAACATATGGCCAATTTCGGATTTATATTTATAATGTAGGGGCAGGACTCTTCAGATAGAGAGCATTTGATTGGACAGAAAAATCTTTGATCCAAATTGGTAGAAGTAAGAGACTGTTTTCTTTTCTTTTTTCTTTTTTTAAGCACACTAGCTTATAGATAACAGTAAGGCTAACATATTCATACTAAAAGACAAAAAAAAATGCCATTTGATTTCAGGCGGCAAATAATCCAGTTTAAACTGTTTGACATCAAGGAGTAAAACGATCTTGATCAAAACAATAATGTAAGCTAAAGTTCAAGCTATTTCTCCTGACTGCCATGTAATCAATCAGCAGGGTTCATAATCAAAACCTCGAAATACCAGGAAATTAAAGTTTTGTGCCATGCCTGAAAAAAAATACAATTAATAAAATCTTTTTTTTAAAGCATCTACAATCTTGATAATTTTCTATTATAAATTGACAATACCTTTTCTAAGTATACTCGTTTGTATTTCATCAATATTTAATTGTCTAGAAATTGCTCTTAATGCAATCTCTTTTTAACAATCATTATCCAGGAATCACAAACGACCAGAAAATGCATGGGAATTCATTGGTCTAATGTGAACCTGATGCAATACAGGGATCTGCAAAAAAAAAAATCATTATCATGTGGCTCAAAATTAGTCATAGCCTAAGAGCAGAAGTGTTTATAAAGGTTGTGGTCAAAGTTTTCTGTCATCATTAAGTAGCCTATAGGCCTACCTATCTGAATCA